CCTGTGGGTGGGGAGGACCCTACCTCGGGTGTTGGTGGCCATGTCGGCCACTTTCTGGAAGGCATCCAGGAAGGCGACCGCGGCCAGCACCGTGGTCCTGGGGCAGAGAGAGAGCAAGGGGGGAGCTCAGCGGGCGCCGGGCACCCCGGGGTGTGTCCACCGGGAGGATGGCATCCCCCGTCCCGTCCCACCCCCGCTCACCTGAGCTGGGAGTGCAGCTTGGTGGCCTTCGAGTTGAAGTCCTCCCAGATGGGGTAGGAGCTCTGCAAGGAGGGAAGGGGACAGTGAGAGCCGGAGCCCCTCGCCCCTCAGCACCCTCTCCCCGGGCAGGACCAGCACCGGGTTTTTCCCCCTTCCAGTCTGGCTGTGCAGACCATGTAGGTCTACAGCCTTGTAGACCATCAGGACCTCAGGATTTTGGGTGATCTCTTCCTCCTCCTGCGAGCCAGCTTATGGGCTTGGGAATTGGAGGAGCAGAAAGGAGCTGGTGCACAAGCAAGCTTTGAGACCCCGGTCCGCAGCGGAGCAGAGCCCTCCAGCGCCCGCGGACCGCCCCCCGAACAGCGATAGCCAAAGCCACCACCATGTAGGGTTGTCCCAGTCCCTGGCTCCCCCGAGGACCAGCGGGGCAGGAGGGGAGGCCTGGGGACCCCCCAGCCCTGAAGGGGTCATTTGTGTGGGGATGTGGACAGGTCACAGGTGCTGGGGAGGCCACCCCGGTGAGGCCACCCCGGTGAGGCCACCCCGGTGCCATCCCAGCCAGGCCATCCCAGTGCCATCCCAGTGCCATCCCAGCAAGATCAGTTCCAGCGCCCTCATGGCGAGGCCATCCCAGAGCTGTCCTGGTGCCACCGTCCCAACGAGGCCATCCCAGCGCCGTCCTAGTGAGGCCAGTCCCGGCAAGACCAGTCCCAGCGGCATCTCAGAGAGGTCAGTCCCAGGAGGACCATCCTGGTGCCGTCCCAGCGAGGCCAGTCCCAGCGCCATCCCAGTAAGGCCAGTCCCGGTGCCATCCCAGCAAGGCTAATCCTGGCATCACCATACGTCGAGGCCATCCCAGTGCCACCATCCCAGTGAGACCAGTCACAGTGTTGTCCTGGTGAGGTCCATCCTGGTGCCGTCTTGGTGAGGCCATCCCAGTGCCACTGTCCTGGTGAGGCTATCCTGGTGCCACCATCCTCGCGAGGCCATGCCGGTGCCATCCCAGCGAGGCTGGTCCCAGTGCCACCATCCCAGTGAAGCCATCCCAGCGAGACCAGTCTTGGTGCCACCATCCTGCCGAGGCCACGCTGGTGCTGCCATCCCGGCGAGGTCAGTCCCGGTGCTGTCGTCCCAGT